CCTCTTTTTCTGCTGGTCTTCTCTTCCTTTTGGTGACAGGTAAAGCGAGAAAAGGTCTGCAAGGCCAGGGACATTGAAGTGCATGAAACCTCCTACGCAGACATCATGCAGCGCCTGGTGAGGCGTTACCTCTTTAAGCGCGAGCGGGAGAGAGACTCTGAAGGTAAGAGCAACCTACTGCTAGCAAGCACGCCCTCCTGGTTATGAGCTCCGACATATGATCCAAGTTCTACCGGTAGATTTCACTGCGCAGGCTGCAACTTTTAACGACTAGGGAAGATGGGAGTATCATAGAGAAATTTTGTGATCTTGGTTGGAACTGGTTACCTAGGCTTTTCATGATTTTGGCCAGTAAACTGAGCGTAGGATTATAATATTGATTATCACACACTATAATAAACAGATACGTCAGTCACGAGAGAATGAGGGATACAACAATGACCCTACAAATATCACCGAAGTACTGAACATTTTGGTTATTTATTTTTGATAAATTATTAAAATATTGAATTAAAATTTATAAAAGATACATAAAATGTAAATGTAATATATTTATATAAATATAAAAGATATATTTGTAGTAAGTTTTACATCAATCTGTCTTTCGGGATGTACCCATCCAGGTTGATGCTTCGCGAGCTTGGATCAACCGAGTGAGTTTTTCGCAAGGCTACTAATTGGAATGTTACTAATTAACTTTTAGTAACGTATCTTTATGTTATAATATTCCGGTAAAGATGGGCACGCTAGGATAGCTATTTCTGGCTTTATTGGCCATCGCCAGCTAGGGCTAGCCAACTCTAGTGTAGCCGCTGAAATTGCTGCCACACTCGAGTTTCGAACTCGCGTCTTGTTGGTAAGGGGCAAAGGTCCTAACCATTGAGCCACGAGTTCGCTGTCTTGGCGGTCGTTAATCGTACACCGATCAGTCTTTCAACAACAACAGATCAACAACCGGCAAGACAGCGAACTCGTGGCTCAATGGTTAGGACCTTTGCCCCCGACCGACGAGACGCGAGTACGAAACTCAAGTGTGGCAGTAATTTCAGCGGCTACACTAGAGTTGAGTACCCCTAGCTGTAGTTGTGAGTCTCTGAATGCAAGTGTAAAACCAGGTCGGGTTCAAAATTATTTGGAAATTTACCGCTCTTTCAATCACAATATTTGAAGAAAACATGATTTGCTACCAAAAATTTAAAAGGGAGAATATTTCTGGCATGTTTTTCGCAAAAGAAAATACATTTGCACTTATAAGAGCATTGAAAATCACTGGAAAAAATTCGTACTACTTACCAGGCATTTTTATACAATGCGATTCCTGCAGGCCATCCAACTGAAGTCTTTCCAAAGCGGGTATCCGGAAGTAACCAAAATATTTCGAGATTTTGGCCGTAGGATAATTCATAATACAGCCCTACTCAAGTAACCTTTTCTCGTCGAAAACTAGTTTCAGAATGTCCATCAATAGTTCATGATATAGCCTATTCACTGTATGTATCTCTTACGTTAATTTTCCATATCCATTAGGAAGTAAACACTAACAAGCGTCCTTTGATGTTTCGGTTTTGTTGTAAGGTACCTTCTTTGTATATTTTTTCTATTCAACTAAACGGTGCGTTTCCATTTCAAACAGTTTTATATCGTTAAATTTTCATAGACGGTCAAAGATTCACTCAAGTAGGATCTACCTCTTCGTTTATTAACGCTTCTAATAAAAACAGACGAAACAGTCCGCATGCATTGCAACAATTTGTTACTTCCATAGACCTCTCCCTAGTAGCTTTAGGGAAAGTACGTTCCTCAATAAAAGAAACGTGTACAGACTGGAGTTTGGAGACGCTAAACGAAAGTACTTCGGCGGGGTGGATTCAAAATGAACTGGAAATTGGAAATCATTTTTTAAACGGGCAGAACCTCTTTCTCCGGATTTAAAATTTGTAGAAGATATGGTTAATTAGGCGGTAGCAAACTCACTCGAAAGTTACTACTGATGGGGAAGTGGGTCAGGATCCAACGACGAGTTGTCCGTTAACAAAGCAATCAAGCACACACACCGGCAGCGAACAACGTCGAGCAAGCCAAAGCCCTGTATTTAGGGCTTTCTGTGAAGCTCCCTGCGTACAGTGCCAGTAGGCATGATTAACTAGATGGTGTTGCCCTCCGGCATACACGAATAAAACTGACCCCACTCTATACTGGGCACAAAAGGCCCGGAGGGCTGATTGCACTCAGCTCAGTCCATTTTTATTGAGGGGAAGGTAGAAGAACGTATTTTAGCATCCGTGTGATGACAAACTAGTTAATAAATGTACGGATGCACACTAAGAATTCCACAAATAGGTCGTTTACATAACTGCAGGCGAAAAGCAAGCAACCTTCAGTTGTTCGGGAACAGTAAACATTCATGCCTACTCACTTACTACAAATAGTATATTTAATTGATATGAGTGCGGAGATTAGCGTGCAGCTGGTGAATGAGAAGCTTCATTCATGTCCTGTTCCTTCTTAAATGAATTCCTACCGGAACGTTCCGCGCTGCAACCCCTCTGTTACTGAGTAAAAACTTGCGTCCATGCATCCCTGCTTTGTCTACGCGTCGTTATGGGAGACGATCGCGCAATGTAGGAGTGGTAGCCTGAGTGAACAAATCATCGGGGACAAAGCAATAGTCCAGACCATTCATGATGTGGATGGTTTGTATGAGATTCCCTCGTAGTTGCCTGAACGAAAAGCGAAACAGGTTGAGGGTTGACAGTCTCTTCTCATAGGACAGTGCTCTTAGACCTTTGGACATATTTGTCGCCCGTCTCTTGACCTACCCTGCAGGCTGTACAATCTTTCAAAGTCCAAGGTCTTATGCCTATATAGCGAATTCTAGGTGCGGTCGAATGCAGCTTCCAGATATTTTGGAGAAGCTGTCTTCTTCAAACCCCATAAAGGTTCGCCTAATCAGTTAGAATATACGTCTGACCGATTTGGCGCCTTCGTGTTGGTTTGAATGGGGAAGTAATATACACACCCAAATATTTCTGACTGTTTACTTGTCAGCGGTGTACTGTTTAAGATTTATATTTTAGAACTGGAGGCTCTTCAACTGCTGCCTTGAAGAAAGTTGCATTTACTAACATTTAAGAGCATAAATCAGTCTTTTGACCAGTCCTTGAGCTTGTTAAGGTTGGTTTGCAGCTCGTTTTCATTGGTCTTTTTTCTCCCTTTCAGCTGAAAAACCCAAGGAGAGTCTTGTTCTGCGTGCAGAGGACATACAGGGCGCGGAGATGGGCATGTTTGGTGGAAATGACCCCAACAGGATAGTGGAGTTTGCAGGTGGGTTCTGGGCTTCCGACTTCGTTTTTCTGACTTCTCATAGGCTCCAACAGGAGTTTTTGCATAGACAGCACGTCCAACTCAATAATAAGTAGTATAACACAGAGGAATTTTGATTTGCTCACCAACCGTGCGAAGGCAACGATAGTTGCAGTCTACGTCGGTGGACGCTTGACATAGTAACATTGGTTTGTATTACTAGCAATGTTCTTCTACTCCTAAACCTTTCCATTTTTGTGAAATAAACGCCGCTTTCTTATCAGGCCAAAGTTGTAGTGGCCTTCAGACAGTTAACTGTGGAGAGATTTGCCACGGCTTCTCAGCTCCTTTTTCAGCGTCGTCAACCAACGGACAACGTTCCCATTGGCGTATTACGTACCTCCGGGGCGCAGATCTTGCATCAGACTGAAGTTCCAACCCGAGTCCATTTAGACGCAAATTTAGTAATGCATTTTTCCATCCTGGCCTTAGGACAAGGTCAGCCATCTCCATAAAAGAAGTATTCCTGACCAAAATCTTTGTGCTTCTTGCGATGTCGTCTATTTTGGCCAAACTTGGAAATCCGTTTTGACCCTGATACGCAAATAATCCTTGGCAGTGGTGAGACGAAAT